GCCGCTGAAGCCCGGCGGCCGGGTCTCAGCGCCGCCCTCACGCGCCGCGCCCTGGACAGTCGCTTCCGGACCTTGGAAACAGGACAGCTGCGTAGCTCGCTTCAAAGGCTGGTGGAGATGTGGTTGCTGGAAATGTCTGGCAAAATGTACAGCTCGTGCTGCCCGTGCCATCCTTAACGTGATGACCGGCCAGCCAGAATACCTGAAATAAGAGCCCCAAAGGTGATTGTGGCTTACACTCGTCTGAAATGCTGAAGTGTAACAGCAGAAAGTTGAGAAGACCTGGAGGCGAGCAAAGGGCGGTAGCAAGCGTCCATCTTGACAAATAAGATAAATATTTCATCTGTGTTTTAGGGCCGTGTGTGTGTGTAAGAGGCGACGGCCAAGGTTTTTTCCATTTGTCCCAATGTCCAACCACATTAAAAAATCAAAATTGCAGGCGCCGTGGCCCGAGGTGGGGGGATCGAGCCCAGGAGTTCGAGACCCGCGTAAGCAACAAAGCAGGACCTCAACAAAACACAGGAATTAGCCGGGCGATCTGCCGCGCGCCTGTGATCCCAGCTACTCAGGAGACTGAGGCAGGAGGATCGCCTGAGCCCAGGAGGTCGAAGCTGCAGTGAGCCCTGACGGTGCCACTGCACTCCAGCCTGGGCGACAGAGTGAGACCCCGACTCAAAAAATAATAATAATGGCAATGATTACTGCATGACTTTAACATCAAACGAGTTGGAACATCTGCAGATAAATGGTTTTCCATTGTCTTAGCGTTGAAGTTTTCACAAATATTAGAGGTCAACAATAAAACATTCGTTATTTTGGCAACTGGAGGCGTCATTTGACTCTTTACATTCCATTTTCATACTAGTTTCAATTCAGAAATGCTCCCTAAAGTTATATGATCTCGTATGTTATTCAGCATGGCACCAGAAGGCCCAACAACACCTAAAGCCCTAAACAGCCCTTTCTCCGCAGCAGACAGCACTCTCCCTGTTGTCCTGCCGGTTGTGCCATTCACAATGTATCGTTCCTTTAATAAACCTGCCTTTCTTAATAAAAAAAAAATCATTTTTCTGTGCAAAAATGATGTTTCCTTACCCTCTGCCTAATATTCTTGTACACTTTCTAGCCTACTTGTAACTACAGGAACCTAAAAACAAAACCAGAAACCTTAGAAACAAATAACAATAATTTGAAAACTACTCATATTTTAAAAACTGATTAGAAATCCATAATGCTCTATTCTGGTAATTAAAACAAGTTAGGTTGCTGATGAAGTAAACAAGTTAGTAACATGATCTGATGCTGTATGCTGGCATTAGTGGGGAATTGAAACTGTCCAAAACAGCAAAACCAAACTCTGCAGTAAACTGAAGACAAAAACAAAGAGTCAATTGTTAAAGACTTCATGAATTGACCTTCATAAACAACAGTTCTACATTATATGTATTCAAAGATCTCTTCCCTCTTATGGGCAAGGACAATCAACAATCTTTATTATTGGAAATTTGTGGAATATTTACAAATGCATTTATTTCCCCAATTGGCAACTAAACACAAATTATAATTTTTTTTTTTTTTTTTTTTGTAGAGACAAAGTCTCACTATGTTGCCCAGGCTGGTTTAGAACTCCTGGCTCAAACAATCCTCACCCCTCAGCCTCCCAAAGTGCTGGGATTACAGGTGTGAGCCACCATACCCAGCCCAAACTACAATTTTCATTGCTGAAGCAGAATGTCTTTTCATGATTTACCTGTATATTTCTTACTTCACTGAAAATTCAAAGTGCAAGTTGTATTCCAATATGAACTAGAAATATTTCCTAAAAAGTTATTTTTAACACAGATATACAATTGAAGAGTAATTCATTACAAATCAATAACTCAAGGCAACATAAAAATTCTAATGACTTTATTTTGGGCATTTACATTTTTGTCATTATTTCCAAACTTTTACAGCTCAACTGAAAGTAGGCACAAAGCAACAGGTCAAATTTTTCCTTCTTTCACTTTGCAACATTAGTTATTATTGTAGCAATATGACACACAAATTCAAGTTTATCTACTTTAAAACCTCGTCGTGAGCAGGGCTCGGTGGTTCAGCCTGTAATCCTGCGCCTTTGGGAGGCTGAGGTGAGTGGATTGCCTGAGCCCGCGGGTTCGAGACCCGCCTGGGCAGCGAGATCTCATCTCTACAATAAATCAAAAAATCAGCCGGGCGTGGTAGCGCGCACCTGTAATTCCGGCTACTCGGAAGGCTGAGGCGGAAGGATCGCCGGAACCCGGCAGGTCGAGGCTGCGGTGGCCGGGAGCGGCCACTGCACTCCAGTCTGGGCGACAGAGTGAGACTCCAACTCAAAAAAAAAAAAAAAACTCGTTGTGGCCTAAATTTATCATTTAATGATATATATGGAGCTAAAAAGGTAAATTTAGAAGCCGGGCTCGGTGGCTCAGCCTGTAATCCCGCGCCTTTGGGAGGCTGAGGTGAGTAGATTGCCTGAGCCCGCGGGTTCGAGACCCGCCTGGGCAACTTGGCGAGACCTCATCTCTACAATAAATCAAAAATCAGCCGGGCGTGGTAGCGTGAGCCTGTAATTCCGGCTACTCGGAAGGCTGAGGCAGAAGGATCACCGGAGCCCAGTGGGTCGAGGCTGCGGTGGCTGGCAGCGGCCACTGCACTCCAGTCTGGGCAACAGAGTGAGACTCCAACTCAAAAAATAAAAAAAAGGTAAATTTGGAACTATACATTTCTATGTAAGGCTGGGAAAACAAATCTGAATAAAATTTGATAACCGGATTTCTTACAGCTTTAACATAGCTACATATATATGTTTTAGTGGAGAATACTTTTCAGATTATCCCTCTCTTCAAAGAGGAGAATGTATTTTCATTTTTAAAGAAGGGAAGGATAAAAATAAAAAAGCGTTTTGGGTTGAGTCTAACATAAAGCAAATAAATTATTAGATAATGGTAGTGGCTTCAGTTATACAGCCCAGTACACCAGGTACTGTGCCAAGGGCTTTCCTTGTATTAACTCTCCCTCACAATTCTGAGGTACTACTATAATGACCAACACTTCATAGACAGGAAACAAAGGTTCAGAGAGGTTAAGTAACTTGCTCAAGGACATGGCTGGTAAGCAGCTGAGCTATGTTTCAAACCCAGGCACTCTGATTCCAGAAACTACATTCTTAGCCAGCCATTCTGCTCCTTTGAAAATGAAAAAAAAGGAGGCCATTAAACATTAGGAAGGCAGGAAATTTCTAGACCAAAAGTGAACAAGATTATTTTAGAATGATCTGAATGCAAATGAGTAAACTGTGTTTATTTTCTGAAGTCTAAGAAATAGTCATTATTAAGTTTTGTTTTGTTTTGTTTTTTGAGTTGGAGTCTCACTCTGTCACCCAGACTGGAGTGCAGTGGCCGCTCCCGGCCACCACAGCCTCGACCTGCTGGGCTCCAGCGATCCTTCCGCCTTAGCCTTCCATGTAGCTGGAACTACAGGCGCGTGTTACCACGCCCGGCTGATTTTTTGATTTATTGTAGAGATGATGTCTCGCCTGCCCAGGCGGGTCTCGAATCCGCGGGCTCAAGCAATCCACTCACCTCAGCCTCCCAAAGTCGCGGGATTACAGGCTGAGCCACCGAGCCCGGCTCATTATTAAGTTTTAAGGCCCTTAAGCAGATGAAAATACCAAGTGAACTTTTTAACTTGATGTTATATAAATATGCTTGTTTTTGTTCATCAGAATTTGGTCAGGTTTTATGGAGTTGTGTGGGTATAGAATTTTCTATATGGTATACCATAGAATACTAGCTTTCTTTGCATGCTATGACTAAACTCAGTAATCTCAACGTTGGAGAGCCATGTATCTAAGTCTATAGAACCCTGGAAAACCTCTTATAAGAATCTAAAAATAAATATATATAGTCTTTAAGCCTGGTGTAGTGGTTCACGCCTGTAATCCCAACACTTTGGGAGGCAGAGGCAAGAGGATTGCCTGAGCCCAGGAGTTTAAGACCAGCCTGGGCAACTTGACAAGACCTCATCTCTACAATAAATCAAAAAATTAGCCGGGCTTGGTGGCACACACCTGTTGTTCCAGCTACTTGGAAGACAGAGGCAGAAGGATGGCCTGAGCCCAGCAGGTGGCATTTATATATATATAAATCCTTTAAGGAATTGTATTACTGATTGTTACCTTTATTATAAATACAAGTATAATTCCAGAAAGAATTATATATATATATAATCATATATATAGTTTTTTTGAGTCAGAGTCTCACTCTGTCACCCATGCTGGAGGTGCAGTGGCACACTCAGTCACCGCAGCCCCGACCTGCTGGGTTCATGTGATCCTTCTGCTTCAGCCTTCCAAGTAGCTGGAACAACAGGTGTGTGCTACCACACCCAGCTAATTTTTTTTTTTTTTTGTAGAAATGGTGTCTCACCAAGTTGCACAGGCTGGTCCTGCACCTGTGGGCTCAGGCACTACTTTCACCTCGGCCTCCCTAAGTGCTGGGATTATAGGCGTGAGCCACCACGTCTGGCTCCCAGAAAGGATTATATTATTGATCTTTAAAGATTATAATTAAGAATGCCTTGCCTCTCAGGGCAAGATTATATATATATATATAAAATTA